AGATGGAAAAACTAATCATTAACTTTATATGGAAAGGGAAGAAGCCCCAAATAAGTAAAGCACTACTGAAGAAGAAGAATAAAGTTGGAGGACTCATACTACCTGACTTCAGAACCTACTATACAGCTACGGTAGTCAGAACAGCCTGGTACTGGTACAATGACAGATACATTGACCAATGGAACAGAATTGAGAACCCAGATATAAATCCATCCACCTATGGTAACCTTATCTTTGACAAGGGCCCAAAGTCCATCAAATGGGGAAAAGGCAGTCTTTTTAACAAATGGTGCTGGTAAAACTTGATATCCATCTGCAAAAAAAGAAACAAGACCCATACCTCACACCATATACAAAAACTAATTCAAAATGGATGAAAGACCTAAATATAAAGCCAAAAACTATTAAATTCATAAAAGAAAAAATAGGACCTACACTACAGGCCCTAATACACGGCATTAACAGGATACAAACCATAACCATCAACACACAAACCCCAGAAGATAAGCTAGATAACTGTGATCTTCTAAAAACCAAACACTTATGCTCTTCAAAAGACTTCATCAAAAGAGGAAAAAGAGAACCTACAGACTGGGAGAAAAATTTTGGACAGTACAAGTCAGACAAAGGTCTAATCTCCACAATCTTCAAGAAAGCCCAACACCTCTACAACAAAAAGACAAGTAACCCTATTTAAAAAATGGGGAAAGGAAATGAACAGCCACTTCACCAAAGAAGACATTCAAACAGCGAACAGACACATGAGGAAATGCTCAGGATCACTAGCCATTAGAGAAATGCAAATTAAAACCACAATGAGATACTATCTCACCCTGGCATTACTGTCACCAATCAAAAACATTGCAAATAACAAATGTTGGAGGGGCTGCGGGGAGATCGGAACTCTTATGCACTGCTGGTGGGAATGCAAAATGATACAGCCATTTTGGAAAATGATATGGAGCTTCCTTAGAAAGCTAGAAATAGAAATACCATACGATCCAGCAATCCCATTCCTAGGAATATATCCTAGAGAAATAAGAGTCATCCCTGGAATAGACATATGCACACCTATGTTCATGGCAGCAGTGTTCACAATAGCAAAAAGATGGAAACAATCTAGAAGCTCATCAACAGATGAATAGATGAACTATGGTACATATACACAATGGAGTACTAAGCAACGATAAAGAACAATGATGAATCTGTGAAGCATCTCATAACATGGATGAAACTGGAAGAAATTATTCTGAGTGAAATAAGTCAATCACAAAAGGACAAATATTGTATGAGACCTTTATTGTAAACACCCATGAAAAAGTTTACACACAAAAAGTAACAATCTTTGTTGGTTACGACGGATGGGAGGGGTGGGGGGGAAATACTCAATAGGCAATAAATAAGTGGTATCTTTGGTGAAGGGTGAGACACTACACAGTACTGGGGTACCCAGCACAACTTGTACAAGGAAAGGTCATGGAAGCTCCCTAGACTCTTCCAAACTCCTTGAGGGACTGAATTGCTGGGCAGAGGGCTGTGGAGACCGTAGTCTCGGGGAACATCTAGGTCAATTGGCATAACACAGTTTATAAAGACAATGTTCTACATTCTACCTCAGTGAGTAACATCTGGAGTCTTTAAAATCCTGTGAGCAACCATCTAAGGTACTCCACTGGTCTCATCCCTTTGGGAGCAAGGGAGAATGAAGAGAACAAGATACAAGGAAAAGATTAGTCCGAAGGACTAATGGACCACAGCTACCAAGGCCTCCACCAGACTGAGTCCAGTACAGTTAGATGGTGCTTGGCTACCACCACTGACTGCTCTCACTAGGATCATAACAGAGGGTTCTGGACAGATCTGGAGAAGGATGTGGAACAAAATTCTAACACACACAAAAAAAGACCAGATTTACAGGCCTGACAGATTCTGGAGAAACCCCGAGAGTATGGTCCCCAGACACCCTTTTAGCTCAGTGATGAAGTCACTTCCGAGGGTCACCATTCAGCCGGAGATTGGACAGCCTCATAAAACAAAATGGGACTAATGAGGCACAGCAGTCCAGGCACAAGGACTAGAAGGTAGAAGGGGATAGGAAAGCAGATGATAGGGAACCCAAGTTTGAGTAAGAACAGTGTTGACATGCAGTGGTGTTGTTAACTGTTGTCATAGGGCAACACGTGTACTGATGATTAATGAGAAACTATTTTGTTCTGTAAACCTGCATCTAAAGTGAAAATAGCAGCACAACTGGAAGAACGTAATCGAAGTCACTGAACTTTGCATGTAGAAATTTTTGAAATGGTGTATCTTTGGCTATGTATATTTTCACAAAAAAAAGGTCAAGAAGGGAGAGGGTTGACATGTCATGGGTTTGTGAATCAATGTCATAAAACAATATGTGTACTGACTGTTTAATGAGAAACTATTTGTTCTGTAAACCTTCACCTGAAATACAATTAAAAAAAAAAAAAGGAAAAGTTCCTGGAGCCCTGAACTTGAGACTCTTTGTGATGTTAAGTCCTGTATGGGTACCTGCAAACTATATTTTCAGTGAGTGTACAAGGCTGATTCCTATGGTAAACACATTTGGGAAACACTGCTGTTACTATTTAAGTAATTAGTCTAGAATCATTGAAACGGTGTTATCCAAAGAAATTTTCCTGCTTATCACTTTAAGAAACACAAGCCTGGTGTATCTGTGGAAGGTGAGGGCAATGGAGCAGAACCAATCAAAACATGTTACATTAGGAGTTTCTGTTTTCACCAGGTCTTAGGGGTCAGTCATTCTTTCAAGACATGTTGGCAAAGAGAAACCATTGATAATCATGTACAGATCCTCAGTGGCATATCCAAGATTAATTAATTTACTTTCCTCTATGTTATATTAAGTTTTAGCCTCCTAAATATTAAAGATTGGTATTGAGGGAGAAAAAAAAGATACTGTTCCTTTTTGTAATTTTCTCTTTTATTATCCTTTACTCCATACTATCAAATGATAATAGACTTTTGAGTGTCTGTTAGTTCTAAAGTTTAAAAAGGTATTTTTTTACATTATGATTTAGAAAAATAACAGTCTACAGCAATATTCTGAGGCATAAATATGTATATATTCTTCCAATGAAAAAGTCTTATAGACAAATGAAGCTCTATATTATATAGCAGGCAGGAAATGCAGAAGTATTTTTTCCTGTTCTGTTACTGTCAAATATCGTGTGACAATTTTGGAGTAAGTATTTGGGCAAAGTAATTATAATCTGTTGAGTAGTAATTGCTTATATTCAGACGATATAGTACAGTAAATTAAAAATATATAGGCTGCTCTATAATGGTGTTCAGTTTAGTGATTAACAATCTGATTAATGCAGAACCTCAGTTTTCCTCTTGGAGAAATTTTTTTGCAAGAATTTTTAATTATAAGATTGAAAGTCATCATTTTTGTAATTTTCAACATTAAAATATTCATGTTTCTTGACTTAGTATGTTTCTCGGGAGTCATATGAATAGTTATTTTCCCTTGGAGCCACCAGGAGGCTCTAGATATCTAACATTTTCAGATTTAGCTTAATTCTTAATCTTAGTTGTACTTCAGTATACTATTTATTTGAATATGTATTGATTTAAATAAACTAGAAAATTCTTAAATGCACCAAATGTACTTTGTCATTAAATAACTAATTATCATGTTCAATTTAATATTCTAAAGCTTTCTGCAAGGGATAAATGGCCTAGTATTTATATTTTTAAACTAATTTCACCTATATAAAGCAAGCTTAAGTTTTTGTTTTGTTTTTTTCCTGTTTATGTGCCAGATTTTTGTGCACTTTTTGAATTATGTAAAAATTTATAAGAAGTGTTTGTCATAAGTGCTTGTTCTCAAGGGAAAAGAGACAAATTAGTCTGGAAAAATGTACTTGGACATTAGGACATTTATAATGATAACAGTATCATCTATTCTTGGCATTTCATTGCTCCAGAATTCAGTGTCTGAGAAATTTCTAAGTGTAAAAACAGTAGTATTTTGCCAAGTTCTTGCTGTGTAAATGGATTCAGTGTATACTGGATTCAGTAAAAATGTGTTGCTTCTAATACTGTATCACGGTAGAGTGTCTTGTATAACATTACAAGTGCTCTGATGGTGCACACATTAAGGAAAATTTCAGTGTGATTTTATGAGGTTGGCTTCATGAAAAAATATTCCTACAGATAAATAGAATATGTTGACCTTCCTTTTTCTTTTGTCTTATTTCCTTCCTTCCTTGGATTGCTTTTGTGTAGTCGTATCAAATACAGACATTTAAATATAGTTCACATGCTGGAATACAATCAATATGCTAAGAACCGGATGTACATCAATCAAAGGACTTGAATGTTTTGTTGTATTATCTAATAAAATCATACTTTTTGTATGAAATATATTTTGAATAATATTTAGTTATTTCAGGAAGAAATGGTAGGACAGAAGGGGTAGGGAATTGCTAAATGGAAAGAATTATATACTCACTTTTTCTCTACAGGGGGGGCCTGGTTCATCTGGGGTGAAAGGTGAGAGTGGTGATCCAGGTCCTCAGGTAAAGAAACATAATTTGTTTATTTCACTTATGATTTTTACTTTATGTTATTGAATAAGATGTTTGAAATATCTACCATTTGTTCGAAAAGTAAAGAAATGACTTACATCACCTTTAAGCTTATGTCATCTATTTTAATTGAAAAATCCTTAGTGGCTGTGACTCATTAGTGGCATGACTAATTTTAAAAAAAAGACTAAATTGCATTTTGTAGATGATTGAAGAAATATATACCAGGCATTGTGCAGAGTTGTAGGAATATATGGTGAAATAGATAGTCCAAGAACTCATCAGTTAACCATCTAATGGGGAATTCATCTATGAGAAAAAGCACTTTCAAGACAATGCTGTAAGTGCAAGGAAAGAACACATATCTAGGAAAGGACATCCAAAAGATGAAGGAAAAGGTGAAGGAATAGGGATTAGAAAGAGGAGAGGACTAAATGGATCACTAAGAGTTTTCAGCTAAAGGAAATGTAAAACCCCATGGTTTTAAGAATAAAATAAGTAATCAAGGATGTTTTTAGGTTTAAAAAGTCACATTTTATTTCTTTTGTTTAAATATAATCGTGTGTCTACATATAAACTTAAAAAAATAATAGGACTTTTTTTTTTTTTGGCAAGAAGCCATTTAGAAAAATTGATTTTCTTATCTTCTGCTTTATCTGAATTTTTACATAAGACATAATTTCCCTGTGTTTAAATGAATAGTTAAATGTGCATGAAAGCAAAGGTAGAGCTGAGAGGATCTTAATTTCTAAAACTATCTTTGTCGATATGATTGACCTCACTGATCAAGAATCCTATACAATGAATTAATTATGACGTTTTGATACAGGGCCCTCGAGGTATCCAAGGCCTTCCTGGTCCAACGGGAAAACCTGGAAAAAGGGTATGGCTGATCTTCATTGTGGATTTTGAGAGCATCTGAATGGATCAGTTGTCTTGTTTTCTTTTACTCTGTGCCAGTAGGAGTATCTATTGCTTAATCTTGTCCTTGGCATTATTAGGGTCGTCCGGGTGCTGATGGAGGAAGAGGAATGCCAGGAGAACCTGGGCCAAAGGTCAGGCATTTCTACGTTTGTACATTCAGATCTTACATGTCAGTTCACCTCTGAAATTTTTATATTTTAACATATAATTTCTTGATAGGCAAGAATATCTTACATTCAAATTTTAGTACAGATCTAGTCTGGAAATGCACATGATAATGATGATGATGATGATGATGATGATGTTGATGATAATTTTACAGGGAGATCGAGGATTTGATGGACTTCCAGGTCTACCAGGTGACAAAGGTCACAGGGTAAGATATATCATTAAGTTACTTTTCATAAAGGGATAACTGGACTTTTATGAAATATTTTGGAATTGATACACTTTAGGAAATCAGAAGAAGAGAGCTAATAGGAAGTATTTGTAAACCCATTTAATAAATTATTGCATCCGATAGATTTTTGAAGAAAGATAGGTAAAATTTTATATGTGACATCAGTGTAAGTTCTCTAATTGTTTTTAGATGTTAAAATATTTCTTGTATGCAAACAAATTGAAATGGAGCTTACATGTATACATATTTGAAAAAAAATCACATTAATAGAAGAGCAAATTTTGGAGATTTAATATTGTCTCTAATTTTTTTTTGTAATTGCCTGAATTTTCCTCTTACCATTTTTGTATGGCAATATACTCAAAGAAGACATCTGTAGGCAGTCTACCAATGATGGTATTCTAGGCACTATGCTTTATTATAGTCAATTAGATGGCTCAAGTAGCTATAGACCACAAACTATTACCTTGTGATGATATGAGCTCTCAATCCAATGTAAGAGTTTATAATTTTCCAAAGCCATGTAAACCAGTATACTGAATGGCAAACCACTAGATATGTTTATTGGAAAACTAAGCAAAGAGATACTCTCTCCAAAAAATAATCAGCTTTGAATGGTTGCATTTAGGACTGAGGATAGCTAACCTTAAGGTAAATGGGAGAAGAAAAAAAAAGATAGATCTCTATGAATGTCTAGCAAAATTTAGTGCGTGCCTAGCATGTACAAAGTTAAATATATAATTTTATATTTTAAAAACCTCAACATTGCTTTAGTCCTCTAAGAGTTGTGCTATATTAATATAAATTATTCTAGAAGCAGGAAAAAAATGAAGTTACATTAAAATCAGCAAAGTGTATACATGTTTAAAAACAATGTTTAGCCTAATGATTTCTTAAATGGTTTAGCTTTTAATGATTACACGTCTGAAAATCATTTTAGGTATTTTACTTAAACTCTTTTTATGTTTAAAATTATGGGAACTTTTTTTTTCTAGCATGCTTCTATGTAAAGCCAGTTAACATTGTGAAGTTGTGATTTACCTATGAAGTGATCTGAGGAAGGCAAAGGAAGCATGTATTTTCCCTGCAAATGCCCTGTTATATTTGGTTAGGATGGCTATCTCATAGATTTGTAACTATTCTGTTTGACATCCTATTCTAACCATAGTGGTATTTATTTAACAGGGTGAACGAGGTCCTCAAGGCCTACCTGGTGCTCCTGGAGAAGATGGAATGAGGGTATAGTATTTAAAATTGAAACATAAGGGAACCAAGTCATGTTGAAATATGACTAACTGCATTACCCTCACATTCATTTTGTCAATGACAGGGAGAAGATGGAGAAATAGGACCAAGGGGTCTCCCAGGTGAAGCTGTAAGTAACTTTCTTTTTCTTTTTATAATAGCCTGTTTTTGACCAATAGCGTCTAGTGTTACACATATAAATAAAGTCAATAATAAACTCAGGTAAATACTGTGGTATTATCTAAGCTAACCAAGTAATTTTCATGTAAAGAAAACAAAGAATATTTAGTGCTTTTTTTTTGTTGTTGTTATATAGAAAATCTTAACGGGTCAACTTTGGTGAAGGGAAGGACACCACACAACATAGGGGAAGTGAGCACAACTGGAGAAAAAAAAGAAAAAAAGAAAATCTTAGATAATTGAGAGAACAAAAAGTGGAATATAACATTTTGCCAGCTACAAGAATTTCCAATTTTTTTTTTTAATATTATCAATAACTCCAGAATCTGTTTCTATGTTTAGGATAAATGAATCTTACTGCCAGAATAAAAAAAAAAAAAAAAGAATGAGATAATTACTATATAAAAATATAAGGATACAATATACTAGATTATATCATTTTTCTCCACCACATTTTATAAATGCTAGTTTTAAAACAAATCAGACTAGAAGGGGGCCTCCTAATTTCAGTCCTATTTTGATAAATTACAAAGTTTGTCTAGGCAAATCTCATAGTTCAAGCAAATAGGAGAGACAATAAATTGTGGTATTGATTTTTCTGCAGAAAAAAAAAGGAGTAGCAGATGGAGAATGGGGAGGAAGAAGAGAAAGAGAAAATAATAATAGTAAAACTTCCCTCAGAGAAATGATTCCTATAGTCTTGCATATTTAGTTATTCAGCTGTTTGTTTCTTTGCTTAAGTGAATACTCTTTCTCAAGATGATATTTACCTAAATGTAAAATAAATGAGAATCAGGGGTCTTATATTTGTGTAGTCTGTCTGATCGAATAATAAGGTTCAGTGTTGCCATTCAGATTAGAAAAAAGATACAAAAGTGACTTATGTAAAGTATTAAACTATTTCCTATTTTAAAAATTTCCCAAGTGATTTATATATAAATTTATGGAATCAGAGATACACAGTTTCTCTACTAAAAACTCACAGTTATCCATTCTGGCTTCTGGATTGGTATGAACACTTGATATTTATGTTAGATAAAAATGGTATTTTAAACACCACTTTCTATGGAAGAGTTGTGCTTGGAAGCCTTTTTCTTTTTTCCCCCCTTCTAGGGTCCACGAGGTTTGCTGGGACCAAGGGGAACGCCAGGACCTACAGGGCAGCCTGTATGTATTGGTGAAAACATTTAGAATTTTCTATGGGAAATATGTTTACAGACTGTATAAACTCTGAAGGTCATGAAAGCTTCAGTAGACAGTCAAATGTTTACTGCTTTATTATATTCTAAGATCTAATGTTCATGATGCTGCCTATCAGTTTCCGTGATCTTTCCTCACCCCACCCTTCTTCTTTTTTTTTTTTTTTAACCTCCTTTTTGATTTATTTATTTCGTCTTCATGCCAGTTTCCCAACACTCAGTAGAAAATGCTACTGAAATGGATTAGGAGAGCATAGGCCTTATCTTTTACCTGTTTTCCATTAAATACTAAAATGATTTTAAGTCATCCTAGGCTAGTGGGTATCATGCTATTAGGTTAGCATTTTTCACTTTTTACTGTAGCATCTAAACTTATCTATACATATTTTTTTTTCTTTATTGAAGGGTATCCCAGGTGTAGATGGTCCCCAAGGTCCAAAAGGGAACATGGTATGTAGAAAACATCCATAAAATAACTTATCTTTGTAATCTGAGCTTTAACAAACCATTTCTGTTGCTGAATCTAAAGTAAAGATTTCTTATAATATTTTGCTAAGTAGTTTTTGCTATCATTAATAATTTGCAAGAATTTTCCAGTTTCTCTAGAGGGAAAATTGATTTGAGGGCTATTCTTCAATTTAGAAAAAAAAAAAAAAACCTATTATGCAAAACAACCCTATTAAAGACTCTATGTTTTCCTATGGCAGGGTCCTCAAGGGGAGCCTGGACCACCAGGTCAGCAAGGAAATCCTGGACCTCAAGTAAGTCTAAGTGACTGCAGCTCCTTTGAGATAATGGGATAAGATGGTATCTTTTTACAGGAAAATTGACAGCCTGAGAATTTTCTATATAAACCTACAAATATTTAAAACGTGATTGTAGGAAGATTTTTTTTTTTAATTTAAATACACTTGCAGAGGCCCCTTTTTTCCAAGAGAAAAATGAGTCATTCAGTGTTCATGGAATGCCAGCAGGAACAGCCACACCTTCAGGAGGGTTCTGAATAGGATCACGTTACAGTCCCATTGCCAAAAGAGTAGCTTGTGCAAAACTTCTCATGCTGTCGCGCTGTTTCAAAACTTTCGGGGGGTGAGGGAAAATATATTTATATATATATCCTCATAATTCATTTACTGCAAAACAAAAGTCTAATTGCTATTTAAAAGCATATTCTTGTGATGTGATTCCTGACCTGTGAAATAAATTCTTTTAAAATAGGGTCTTCCTGGTCCACAAGGTCCGATTGGTCCTCCTGGTGAAAAAGTAAGTTACTCTGTTGTTTGAGTGAAGTCTGGTGAACAAATTTGGGATAACAGCCATAGGCAGGTGTAAGGCCTGCCTTCTGTTTTGGTAAGATAACTAGATGGCTCAGCACATAAGGAATTAATCTGGAGTTAAACCATGAGAGTACAGTGTTGGAGAATTCATTCATTCATTTCTGAATTGTGAATGATAAAATGTTGCAGAGCTTCCATTTGCACAGCTTCCAAATGTGACATTCTCAGCTATATTAATTTCAGAAACATATTAGTATGAGTGAATGTTTTCTCTTTACTTTGGTTCTCCTTTTCATTCTTGTTATTTTAAAAAAATGTAATTAGGTTTGCTTGTGACAAAGGATTTTTAGCAAGATCTGATTAAGGGAAAATTGTGAAGTTGTCATTACCACCATTACTCATGTATAAATGGAAAATGATGTTCTTGTTAATAACTCAGTGTCTGAATCAAAACAAGAACAAATTTTTAATTAAAGAGATGTCTTTTTCCCTGATCTCCTCTGCCAAGTTCCCCAAGAAATATTTCTTGTCCCTGTAGTCACAATGCAATTGTTAGCTGATTCTTTCTAACATCTTTTTAAATTTCTTATTTTTGATGATTTTTATGAACGTATTTTTTTTAATTAATAGCTTTAGTGAGGTATAATTTGCATATCATAAAAATTCATTTGATGTGTACAACTCAATAATTTTTAGTACATTTATAGTGTTGTAAAACCTTCACCACAATCTAATTTTAGAACATTTACAGCACCCCAGAAAGAAACATCATGTCAATTTATAGTCACTCCCCTTTTCCACCCCCAGACCTAGACAACCATAGATCCGCTTTCTGTCATTATAGGTTTGCGTTTTATGAACATTTCATATGAATGAAATCATATAATATGTGGCTTTCGCGTCTGGCTTCTTTCATTTTACGTAATGTTTTTGAGGTTTATTTGTGTTCCAACATATATCAGTACTTTGTTCCTTTTTATTGCTGAATAGTATTCCTTTGATTGGATATACTACATTTTGTTCTTCTGTTCTCCAGTTGACAAGACATGTGGGTTGTTTCCACTTTTTGGCTATTATTAATAGTGCTGACATGAATATTTGCATATAAGTCTTAGTGTAGACATGTAGAAGTGGAATTTCTGGGTCATATGATACATTTATGTTTAACATTTTGAGAAGCTCTCAAATTGTTTTCAAAAGTGGTTGTTCCATTTTTCCTTCCCACCAGCAATGCATGAGGTTTCAGTTTCCCCACCGCTTCACCACTACTTGTTATTGCCTCTCTTTTTAATTATGGTCTTTCTTGTTTGCGTGAAGTTGGTAGCTCATTGTGGTTTTAATTTTCATGTCCTTAATAACTAATGATGTTCACCATCTTCGCATGTACTTGTTGGCCATTGCTGTGTTTTATTTGGTCAAATATCTGCTCATATCTGTTGGCCATTTTTTAATTGAGTTTTTTATCTTTTTACTATTGAGGAGTAAGAGTTGAACATACAAGATTTAAGTGGTCTTTAAAGTACTTTTTTCTGTGTATGCTTTCTATATGGTTGCCTACATGGGAGTACTATTGGAAAATGGCCCATGTATTTAGGATGTTAGGCCCCAAACGTCATTTTCAAACTTTACTTTGGATCAGAGATTCTGATCTGGGCCACTCTTATATTTTGGTTCAGCCTGTTATACACGTACTATATTTACTGTAAATTGAACTGGAAGGATGTCACTATAAAACTTCTAGCATGATTTTATCATTTATGCGCTGAGCTCCTAAGAGGAATGTGCTCTTAAAGGAAATTGGCATATCTGCATTCCTTTTGTTGAGGCAAAGGTAAAACACAGGATCTAGTTCATTTCACTTCTAATGGTAAGAACAGAGCTGTCTTAAGTACATGCTGCCTCTGTCTCACCTCTGAACTTTTTACATATCCAGTCAAAGGTACAAAGACAATTTCTTTTAACCAGAATTAGAAAGAACTCAAGGCACGACGAAGACTTGTTTTGTTTATATTGCATCTGTAGTAATGTATATTTTATATTGCATCTCCAGTATTGTTAATTCTATATTGCATCAATATTACCTTTTTTTCTTTTTAGTATACTGTTATCTGTTTATTCTGGCTCAGCAGCCTTATTGCCAAAACTTTAGTGAATAATAAATTTTTAGTTGAATCATACTGCTACCTTACACTTAAGAGAATTAACTAAGGCTATATATTTCTAATTTCTAAAAACTTTGATATTTTTGCAAAGTTATTATTGCCTGTGCTTTTATTACATTGGCTATAAAAATACTTTATAAAGTTTGACTATATTGTTTTCTCTGACATTTTGATGATAATATACTGAATATTTCCTTTTATTTATGAGTTTAGAATTTATATCACAGATCAATTACTTTAAAGAAAACAAATGGTATTGTATTCCTCAATGAGCTCAGTATAAAATAGCAAGACACAAAATAATTATTAGTTTAAGAGAGGAGCTTTGGAAACATGGATAAGGACCTGAGTTCAGATTCCCACTGGCTAATTTAACCAAATACTGTGAGGATGATGTTTCAAAGAACTAACACTTAAAGTGGGTAACATATAAATCACTAGCATAGTGCATATAAGCACTCAATACATTTTAATTACTTTATTAAAATCTGAAGTCCCTCAATGGAGCAAAGTATTTGACTACTAACCGAAAGGTTGGTGGTTTGAACTCACCCATAGGTGCCTCAAAAGAAAGGCCTGGTGATCTGCTTCTAAAAGGTCACAGCCTTGAAAATCCTGTGGAGTGCTGTTCTACTCTGACACACATGGGGTCACCCTGAGTTGCAATCCGTTTAACAGCAACTGCTAGGGTTTTTGGTTTACTAAAATCTGAGAAATATGACATTCATTCATTCAAATTTATTTCCTCCCTTGGAAAACAGTAAGCAGTTAGGGAAACAGGCAAAAACTTTCTGCTCTCATAGATCTTTCATTCTAAAAGAGAAGGATTTATTATAACTTGATTTGAAAAATCATTTGGTTTTAATATTTCTCTTCTACCCTCAAATATGTAGCAACAAAAATAATCTATTCAGTATTTTCAGCAAAGTCATTGCCATATAAATATTACACCTGTTGATAATAATAATAAACGGAGTAGTTCTGTGTTCATGCTATATATTTTGTTTTGAAGAAATAAGACCACTCTTTTAAGAGCAAGAGATAATTTAAGTGACAAATATTACCACAAAAACTTTTAGTATTTTATAATAATTGTTACATAATGTTAAACTACTTGACTAAATATTTTTTCAGAGGGATGAAGGGGATTGCAGTTTCTAAATATTTTAAATTAGATACAAATAATCTCAGTTGTAAAGTGTAAATAAACCAAAAACCAAACCCGTTGCTGTTGAGTCAATTCCGACTCATAGCAATCTTATAGGACAGAGTAAAACTGCCCTATAGGATTTCCAAGGAGCGCCTGGTGGATTCGAACTGCCAACCTTTTGGATTCGAACTGCTGACCTTTTGGTTAGGAGCCGTAGCTCTTAACCACTATGCCACCAGAGTTTCCAAAGTATAAATAGTTCAATATAAAGAAGTATAGTGATTTAAGTGAGGCTTTCTCATAAAAACCTGTAATGTCACTCAGTGTAAATACAATGTTTATCCTAAATACTCTCTGAGAACAGAAAACCCAAAAAAATATGTCCATCATCTAGGCTTGCTGATGTATCTTTGCTCTTTCAATTGTTTCTAAATTCTGGGTAATTATTGACAAGTAAACATTAACTGGTTTATTCTCTGAAGATGTAACAATTATTCTCAAGAGAATGATTTTTTCCTCCTCGGAAAGGGCCTATTCCTTGCAATAAAATAGTGACTTTTACCATGTTCCAGATTTAGCAATGGTCAAATTAAATAAGATTTTAAACCTCCTGTGATTATGCCTAGATTAGAGAAATATGTTGAATAACTAGGTATTTTGTCATTATTTAATAGTTTCCTATTAGGTTGTGCTTTTTTTACTTCAGAATATCAGATTTATTTTTCTTCATTTCCTATGTTACACTATAACTTGTATTTCTTAAAATATTTTAATGACTTTTAGTGTTTTATTCATGTTACTTAGTAAGTTTTTGAATTGTCACCTACTATTGATGAAAATATCCAATGCTTACTTCTTTAATTATATAAATCAATTTATTCCAAACTTATATTGTTTCCCTTTTTATCATCTAAGTTTGAGCTTATTGTGGTAATCAAAAACTAATCTATTAATTTAAAAAAGACACGTTTAGAACTGTTAACTTGGACAAAACCTAGCATGTTTTGACATCTATTAAATTTGGTTTTGTTTATGTTCATGCATTATTTGTTCCGGTTAATCTGTTAAAAGGTTATTTAAATGCTTTTTACTTATAGCTAAAAGGCAGTAACTCAAGAATTTTATTAGTTGACTATTCCTACATGTACGAAGTCAGAGTTTTTCGTATTTTCTTTTTTTAAATAAAATATTCTCTTTTTATGTTTGATTAGGGACCACAAGGAAAACCTGGGCTTGCTGGACTTGCTGGTGCTGATGGGCCTCCTGTAAGTAACAATTACCTGGTCATTAAAATGTCTACATCTTTTTTTCAAATATCAATTTTACATGTGTTTTAGGAATAATTAAATGCAGTCATTATTAAAAGCAGATTTAGCTAGTAATTAAACATCGATCTCTTTAAAACTTTTTCATCGTGTCACTTCAATATTGCAAAACATTTAATGAGCTCGCAGTGGCCTTTGGATAAACTCATTCCGGCACTCTAGGCCAGACTTCCCTAGAACCTCATATTTTCCTATTTCCTCATGAACCATCAGCAAACTGATTTCCTAACTTTTCTTTCAGCATGCTCTAAACTTTTCCATCTCTGTGCCTTTCCTATGTCCTTTGTTTCAGAGAACATTTTACCATCGTCTCTTTTTCAAACTACACGTTTTTTACGAGTCCGGGTAAATCTTCTCATCGTTCATAAATCTCCTCAGACATCTTTCATGGTAATTCCTCAGCCTGCAGGGATTTCCTCCTTCTCTGGAAAAATGGAACCCATTAATATTTAAAGCATTCTTCAGGTAGTCATAAATAATACAATTATTAAATACCCACAGTTGTTTTTAAAAATTTTATTGATTTTTTTTTTTTGCTTCAAACCATTTTATCAGATTTTTGAGGGCCAGGGTACAGGAATTCTCATCTGCCTCTACTTATTTTCGTTGAGTGTAATTGTGGTATAGCTGTACATTTCTACTTACTGAATCTCAATAACTTGATTATTAACATTATTAGTATTTATGATCTTGCTATATTTTCAGATGTCCCATTCACACAGCTGTCTTTTGAAGAGGCATGTATGATCATTAGATCAATATGCAAAATAGAAGTCAATTTAAATATACTCATGTAAGACCCTATTTGAGGCTGGGGTTACATTGTTAATGCACAGTAATGCATATTGATTTATTTGCTTTTCCCAAGTTCTGTCATATTTGATGAACTTACATCTATCGAATATGAGATTATTATATTTCCTTCCAAGGGCCACAGCTTCCAATGCTATTTACAACCATATACATTGATGCAATAAGTTTCAATCATTTTTAAAACACAAAGAGTAAGATCTCAATAGATTTGAAAAAAAAATTTCATAGTGTTATAAATGCTACCATTAATATTGCACCTAACCAGTATGTATTTTTGCTAAACATAGGGTCACCCTGGAAAAGAAGGCCAGTCTGGAGAAAAGGGTGCTCTGGTATGTTACAGCGTATCTCTTTACACGTGCTACTAGTTTATTGCCAAGACACAACGCTTTAATTTGGTCATCTCTATATTCTTCTCAGTTTATTTAGGGCATGAGTATTAGAAAATAAGTACCAGAAAATAGTCCATCTTTACTTGTAAATATTTGTTTACTTTCTAAAGAATTTTTGCTAATTTTAAATATAGTATCTCTATAGTTATTTTTTCTTTAGTGTATAAGAAATAGGTGGGTCTTAGATTACTTTTAATTCTGTATTAGCAGTTTTATACATTAGACTGTTTTTTAAAAATATTTTTATGGCCAGGGCTAGATGCACATTCTCATATGTAGTGTATGTGGAATGAGTGAACATTTATGATAACAATGAAATAGAACAAGAATTACTGAGTGTCAGTTAAAATGTGTATGTTACCCCAGTTTTATCTTCACTTATTTCTGGTAATCTTTAACTAAGAGGAACATACATTTAATAGCCACGATTACCAATATGTCTAAATAAAATACCAAAATAAAAACTTATTCAATGCTGATACTGTTTTCAGTTGAAACAACAGGGTAAGATCATTTTTGTTTAGAGTTGCTAGTTTTACATACTTATTAAAATAGTACTAAAGTTCTCAGCATTACTGTAGAAACTAGAAATTATATTCTATATATTTATTTCTTTAGGTAAATGAGTGAAATAAAGCCAAGTGTGGAAAATATATAATTTTGATCATATTCTTAATGATGTGAACGCTATGAATTTATACAAGGTTTCTATGAAAAATTACTGAACCTAATGTTTATGATTATTGATTGTAGACATTGAGCACTCTATGTTTAGTTTTAGAAAATTAGATAGTAGTTATCTGATGGTTTACATTATATTATATAGTTTTAACATTTACCTTATTGCCCATTTAAGGTATCTTATTTTGAACATGAATACATAATAAGTTTCAATTGGGTAGTACTGGTCAGATATTTTGTTTCCTATATCTAGAAACGATAAACTACCCAAGAAATCTTTACCAAATATTAATAGTAGAAATATACCATGTTCTTATAGATTATTTAGTAAACTTACACTATGTGAATGAGTAACATTTTCAATGTAATTTACATATAAACTGCAATGGGTATTTTTCAGGGTCCTCCTGGTCCACAGGGCCCTCTTGGTTACCCTGGTCCTCGAGGAGTAAAGGTAAATGTTAACTTTTTTCACATTTTTTAAGGTCAGTGTGAAATGTTATAGTCATTAAATCCTTCTATTTTATTCCTCAGGGAGCAGATGGTGTCAGAGGTCTCAAAGGCTCTAAAGGTGAAAAGGTAAAATATAAACATCTAGGTGATTTTAATTTGCTATACATCTATTATAATTAAAATTTAAATTTATTCAACAGATACCTTATTTATCAAACACATACTGAGTGATTACTACATACCAGACAATGCTAGTCTAACTTTGTGTCACATATCCTAGAAACTTTTTTTTTTAAATAATGTCCTGTATCGTGGGGTGAGGGCTGAATTATAGAACAAAAGTGAGAGTATGTCATGAACAGATTTAGTCTTGCATCCCTTTTTTTCTTACATGTGTTTAGCTTATGTAAGTCATAGCGTTGGCCTCATGAATGATTTGATAGAGGAGATGAACAATATTTAGATGTATGCATATCAGAGGAATATTTATTCCCTTTTTTTTTTACTGAAATCCCCCCAAATTCATAACTTGAAATGCAGTGCAAAGCATGAAACTTAGAACTTCAATTGGGGGATGAAGAAGTCTTCCAATGTGGTATTGCATGTAAAGCAAAAGAATTAATAAGAAGGAAATAAGGGTTAAAACCAGGCAGAGCTCTAAAAGAATGTCTTATACTCTGAATAAATATGGCATATTTTATAGGGTAGCTTATAGTTTAATTGCCATTGAATGAAGAACATGAAATTCAGATGTCTTCATAAAAATGTTTAATATGAGCGTAGACCCCCCAAATCCTTCAAAGATTATGTTGAAATGCAAAGAGAATGGCATTACTCAGAATTAGTATTAGATTAATTCTTACTATGAAATTATGTTAAACAATAAAAAGCAAAACAAAAGGTTTATCTTATGAAAAATTTGTAGATCTGGTGAGCTATATATGGAATATTAACTACTGATTTCAAGCATAACTGTTTATTTCTATAGTCCATAATATAATCAAAAGCATCTTAAGTGAGTTTGGTACCAATAAGGAATGAAAAACAAAATGGGATGGATTTATTATATCCATTATAATTTATTTTTTCTGGGAAAAAACACGTAAACTACTGTGACACCATAAAGGTATGCAGCTGTATTTTCAGTTCTACTGTATGAAACATCAGTGGTGCATTTTGAATTAATTTAGCTACTTTGCTAATAATCCCAGTTCTTTCTGATCATCACAGATGAACTTCAGGGTAGATAGTGGCTTGCTGAATTGACAGCTGATCTCAGTGATGGTTCAGAGGTATTGAACTTGTAATCATTTGCAGGTTGCCTGTGCTAAAAAGTATTGTTTTAGGTTGGATTTTTTGTTAAGATGTTTAAGTATCTTGTTTGCTCCAGAGTTAAAGCCCACTAAGGATTTCTCTTTTTTTTTTTTTTTTTCGGGGTTGTGGGGAGGGATGCATTTACAAAAAGGAATTTAATTGGAGTTGGCATGTTGTGATCGGCTGGAAGGAGGGCTAGTTGCAGAGTGACAATAGTATGTAAAATTACAGTTAACCTTTAAATGGATAAATTACTATTATTATTTATGGAATTTTTTGGTGATGCTGTTTTTTCCCTAATGGAATGGATGCTGAATCATTATTTGTTGGTAGTTTTTTTTTATTATTTGAAAAAATGGGATGCTAATTGTCAGCAGGACATATGAGACCCATGTTCCATGAAACACATCACACACACAGGACATATGAGCCCCATGGTGCATCCCACTTCCTGGCTATACTTGAGTCATAAAATATCTTACTCAACTTTCCAAAAATACATCCAAAATACTAAATAAATAAACATTGCACTTGCTGCACATAATTGTTATCAGTTTGATTTAGAGTGGGCCATACTGGTATCCTGTTCCATGAAGCACACCACATCAGGCGGGACATATCAGTCCCAGGGCCCAGGAAGTGTATCATGAACTGTTTTCACCCCAAAAATTACTCATTTACTCAAATATTTCTGACTATGAGTAATTATACCTTCCCAATAACACAAAGGAAATGGTAAACATACTTGTAAGCCTTATCTCGCTGTACAGAAGCCAGAAGACACAAAAGTTTCACACAATCACTCCTGCAGGAAGCAACCCTCATATGAATAGCTCTCAACACTCAAATGCAGTACAGACCAACTTCCTTGTTTTTTTAGGCAGTTGCATCAGTATCCACAATGACCCCAGACCATATTAAAGTGTCTCAAATGCCTGCTAAATAAACCTCCGGGGGCGGAAAATGTAACACCTGCATATATTTCCCGTGGTCCATGAGAGGGTTAAGGAGAAACATGTGAGGAGAAAACCATGCAGGAAAAAAAAAAAAATTAAAGTATATTGCTTATGTGTAGGAAAGCTTGAGTTTATTTGTTGTCTTGAATTGCATATAGTCTCAGGAGAGATAAGTAGATATAGAAAAAAAGTAAAATTTTAAATTGGGACTCAAAAGTTTTGGATTCTAGTTCTTATCCTAACCAGGTATACAAACAGAAGAGGATGGTTCACTTTCTCTGAGCCTCATTTTAAGTCTGTAAAATAAGAAGATTGTCCAAAAATATCAATAAGGTATTCTTCAGCTATAACTTTTATTCCACCCAGTATACCGATCAAGTAGTATATTACTTATACAAATTTAGAGAAATTCTATATAAATGCTAATGGAAGCTTCTTTTTTTTAATGATAAGAATTTTCCATATTTTCAAACTCTGTGAAGGATCATTAAATCCTCATGAATTTTTAATGCACATTATTTAGTTTATTTTTCTGAGTATGCATTATAATTGACCATTTATCTCATGGGAGATAAAGAAGGAAGTTAAAACTCTTTTTTCCCTTTTATATATAATAACATTACATTGTTAACCAAAGGTGAAATAGCTAGTTGGTACATTGGCTAGGATTAATATTCTCCATTTTTTAAGACTCAGATTTGTTCCTTAGACTTCAAACCACCCAATAAACTCAGTGGTGTAGGTGAATTCCTCTTTTACTTATATATCTTCTAAAACTGTCTCCTTTTTTTTTAAAGACTAATTGAAATCTGATAATATAGAACTGAAAGCTGAGTAACTTGATAGTGTTACTTGTTTTTAAAAAATGCCATTTATTGAGAGGATATACCTAATAAATTTAAGAGTCACCTAATTTCTTTCTTTAATTATGATTGTACTGAAAACAATAGCTTGACAGAAATAGTGTCCGGTTCACTGAGTTCTCTTTCTTAAGAAAATAAATAAATAACCTCTGCCTGAAACAATCCGAAAAATGGTTACTGATTTTTGGATATAGAGTGAAGTATTCTTTAAACTAAAGTTGGCAACTGTGTAATTACCTTTCTCACAAGGGAGAAGGTAATGAAGACAATAGTCAATAGGAAGTTAAGTGGTCATTTTCAGCTGTTAAAGCTCTACCATTGCCCGATTACTCAGTACGGAGAGAATCCTACTCCCTACAAGGCCTCTTTACTCAGAGACTTTTGGAATATGCTTGTTTGTCTTGACGAAAATTTCTTGGCTTGTCAGAATCATTAGGGGTAGGCAAGATATGAGTTTGGATCCCTTTTTCAGGTTTAGGCTTCACACTTCATAATTACAGGTACTTTCCGGACCTTAACAAACTCACGCTGAGGAATGAATGATTTACAAATGTTCGTTTTGTAAAAGTTTGTTGAATAACATGGTTATCGAGGGTCAAAAATGTACTAGGCACTGGAGATACAGAGGGGCGGGCTCGCAGTGCAGTGGTTAAAGCACTCGGCTGCTAACCGAAAGGTTGGCAGTTCAAACCCACCAGCCACTCTGCAGGAGGAAGATGTGGCAGTCTGCTGCCGTAGAAGATTTATAGCCTTGGAAACCCCGTGAGTTAGTTATACTCTGTCCTGTAGGGTCACTATGAGTCAGAATCAACTCAATGGCAACGGTTTGGAGATACAGAAGTTAATTAGGCATGACCCTTTCCTTCTACATTTAGTAGGAAAAAAAAAAAGAGAACTATGATCTACTAGGATCCCTGGTGGCGCAGTGGTTAAGAGCTTGGCTGCTAACTAAAAGGTTGGCAGTTTGAATCCACGATCCACGAGCTGCTCCTTGGAAACCCTAGGGGGCAGTTCTGCTCTGTCCTATGAGTCAGAATCAACCGCAATGGGTTAATGACCTACTAAGTGCAGGATGGCACCTTGTTTCAATAATAAATATTTAATGGGACCAAATACAATGGAGAATTTAATTTTAGGAGGAGAAGACTAAAGTCAGGCAGAACTTTACAGCACAATTATGAGCTGAATCATAAAAGAAGAGTCAAGTCTCTCCAGGTGGACAAAGATGGAAAGGGTTTGCTGATTGTGGGTGAGTGGGTGGAGTAACCGACACAAGAGATACCAATATAAATACAAGTAATTCAGTTTGCTAGAACTCAATCGTAGGGTCTTGGATGGGAAGTTAGAGTCAAACTTCATTAGAAAAGATAAGACTGCTGAGATTAACTAGGGCTAGACCATGAGGGTCCTTCCAGCTATCGTTAGCAATTGGGAACTATTGAAATACTTGAAAGTAAAAGCTGATGTGTGATCAGTTTCATATTTTAGAGTGGTCATTCTGGTAGAAGGGTATGGAAGTAATGGGCCCATCATTTCTAGGTCTGTTCTCATACTCAGCCTGAAATGTTCTTTCCTCAAACTCTGCAAGTCATATATCCATTCACCAACTACCAAATGAAATACCAACTCTCCCATCACACCTTCTCTCATTCACTTCTTGCCTCACATGCTTCAGACAAAATCATCATCATCATCATCTCTTTCTTCTCTGAATACCCATTCCACTTAATTAGTACAAATGTTCTACCTTCAGTTCTAATTGGTAAAACAAAAATCTCAAAACTCTTTCCAGTACTTTGAACAGACTAATTGCTCAGTTAATGCTATTCCATACATGAATAATCAGTCCTTAGAAATTTAATTTTTTCTGGAAACTAAGATAAAGTTCTTGCTAACTGGTGCCTCATTTCCAACATCACTGTTCTGTGCATATGATATCATGATGGAAAATGTCTATTTACTTATAAAGGGTAATATCTGATTTGCTTATTCTTCATCTGAAAAGAGATTACAATATAGAGTACTTGAGCTAATAAAATGTATGTAAAATGCATGATATAAAATTTTTAGGTATAAATTAGTAAATTAAGGGTAAAAATATTAGTAACCGAAAGCATGTGTAAAATTAAAATGATAATTATTTACATATTAATTTTATTTATTTGTTCAAATATATAACATACATGTTATTGTAAAAGAATGGCTATTTCCACCATAAGATGAAGAATATTTAATGAACCCATTTATGAAAAATTTCCTAGAATAACTTATAGCTAATAATTGAGAAAAAATGGGGGGATGCTGTGATAAGGGTATGAGGGGAAGGTTGGAGTAAGGGGTAAGAGGTTTCACAACTAGGATTCACATTTCTCATAACAATTTTCCTAAATTATCTGTGCTCATATTTTATAGAGCCAGATTTTAGACTGATTGTCTACTCTATTACTATATTTTTTAGGGTGAAGATGGTTTTCCAGGATTCAAAGGTGACATGGGTCTTAAAGGTGACAGAGTAAGTAAAAAGCAAATTTGCACTAATTCATGCATAAATCAGTATATGTATATATTCTTCTCTTATCTTTAAATACAGCAAGCAAAGGATAAATAAAATGTTTATACAGCCAGAGAGTTTGCTCACCTAGGTTTTTATATGAATATTAGGAGTTTATTTTTGTGGAGATTATGTATTGTCAGTTGTCTTTTAGATTTTATATTAAATTTGTCTTTTAAATTTTATATTACATTTCCACATGTCCCATTTTAGATAGATACAGGTGCATGATGTTTACTGATACAATTGTAGAAAATGATGCAATTAAAAGAAGTAATTTGATAGGTTTGTTTTAAATTTTGTCATATGTAATGAGCTATGCATAATTAGCTATACTGACTGGAAACTATATGTTTGCAACTTTCATGGATTTTCATTATATGATGGTCTTGAATTTTTGAGTGTAATAATAGTATATTTCTTTTCTGATGAAAGGTATCTATAAAACTAAGAAAAATATGAGTTGTCTAAAGCAAAGTAAACATTTTATTGGGAATAGTTATTCCCAATAAATAATAACCAAAACCAAATTCTGACTCACAATAGTACCTAATAAATCTAAGAAAAAAAAAAAAGACAATACTTCAGAATATCTTTGTTTCCCTAAAATGCACATTAAGTCTGCACACAGTATCAGAACAATAATTTACATATTCTGGTATCTGAGCAACTGGACCAATAAGCAACATCATAACAAGCAAGAAAATATTGAAATTGTCAAGGATTTTTTACTTGTATCCATAAACAATGCCCATGGAAGCAGCAGTCAGGAGATCAAACAACATATTGCCTTGGGCAAATCTGCTGCAAAATACCTCTTTAAAGTGTTAAAAAGCAAAGATGTCACTTTGAGGACTAAGGTGTGCCTAACCCAAGCCATGGTATTTGTAATTGCCTCATATGCATGCAAAAGCTGGACAATGAATAAGGAAGACCGAAGAAGAATTGATGATTTGAATTATGGTGTTGGCGAAGAATATTTAGTATACTAAGGACTACCAAAAGAATGAACAAATCTTTCTTGGAAGAAGTACAGCCAGAATGCTCCTTAGCAGTGAGGATAGTGAGACTTCGTCTCACATACTTTGGACATGTTATCAGGAGGGGTAGTTCCTGGAGGAGGACATCATGCTTGGTAAAGTAGAGGATCAGCAAAAAAGAGAAAGACCCTCAACGAGATGGACTGACAACAGTGGGTGCAACAATGGGGTCAAGCATAACAACAATTGTGAGGATGGTTTAGGACCGGGCAGTGTTTCATTCTGTTGTACATAGGGTTGCTATGAGTCGGAACGGCATCTAACAATAATAACAGCAACAATACCTTGAAGTCTAAAATAGAGACTTTTTTCTTGTCTTCCAAACACTGATTTCCAAAGATACTATCTAATCTTGATTCTTATTTTTATCTGTCTCTATGCAACACAGATACATTAAAAACAATTTAATTTGATACATGGTAGCATCTGGCTTCTGTAGGTTTTCAAAATGTCAGACTGTATTCAGTTGTTTAGTCAGTAAGGAAATGATTGATGAAGTCAAACACTTTTAAGTTCCTGTCATAAAAAGAATGAGTAAACAAACCAGGAGTTGAAGAATGTGACTTTTTGATAAACTCTAATCTCTGCCACTCGGTCTCCAAATATGTTATAAACTACAGAATATTGGTACTCCGTGTTTCAGGGAGAAGTCGGTCAAGTAGGTCCAAGAGGAGAAGATGGCCCTGAAGGCCCCAAAGGTCGAGCAGGTCCAACTGGAGACCCTGGTCCTTCTGGTCAAGCTGGAGAGAAGGTTAGTAAATAACTGTAAATTCACAGGTCCTGTTGAAGATGATGCTTTTTTGTCATTTTTAAATATATTAATCACCCATGTCAGAAATCTAGAGATTTCTATCAAATTTGAAGCATTTCCATGTAGTTTTCTTATTTTCTAGCCCCCTCTGCTCTCCTTGTCCACACAGGATCAGCCGCTTAAAGCTCTTCCATGTTAAACTGCTAATCAGTTGCCACCTAGTTGATCCAGACTCACGGCAATCCCATGTGTGTCAGAGTAGAACTGCACTATAGGATTTTCAATCGCTAATTTTTTGGAAGTAGGTCTGCAGGCTTTTCTTCCTAGACACCTCTGGGTAGACTTGAACCACCAGCCTTTCAGTTAGCAGCTGAATGTTTTAACTGTTTGTACTACCCATGGGCTATTCCATGTTAGATGTTGAGAATTTGAGTGTGATTATAGATAGATAAAAGAATCAATAAAAGATGGTCTATTTATTGGTTTGTAACAAACACAATCATACTTTACCCTTCAAACCATCATGTTTATTTTCTACTTTTTTCCGCATAAACATATGTTTCCACAGAAGAAATGTTTTTAAAAATAATGTTTAGCTCCAACTCCAAGAGTTTTTTTTTTTTGTTTGTTTGTTTGGGGTTGACCCAAGCATCAATATATTTAAAAACATTCTAATGTTGGTTAGATTGAGAGCCACTGGGCTACATGTATTGTGTCTATAAAAATGGCATGAGAGCAGTGTCTGACCTCCTCTAAATTCACCAGGGGGAAGGAAAGGCTGATTCCTATGAGGTGGAGGTCAGACATGCCTCCTCTCTCCACCATCTTTACCAATTCTAATACCAACCGTCCCTCCCATGGCACTCTACTTCTCTGCTGGGTTTGATAATTCATTGCAATGGCCACACAGAACTCACAGACCATACTCATGATTATGGGGTTTATTAGGGAAGTAACAGATTATAATTCAGGTTCAAGAACACTCAGAATACAATTCTTCCATCAGAATAGGCTCTTCCCAGCCATGCTCACAGGCACGCCTCTCCATGGCCCTTGGCCTCCGCCCGAAAGCACTCAGCTTTCTCTCTCTGTGAACCAGAAATCCCACCACACCATTTCCTGCTACCAGGTCTCTGCTGCTGAGTCTCTGCCACCACTTCTTGAGTTCTCTCTCTCTCTCCCTCTGTCTCCTGGTTCTAGGAGCTTCTCAGCACAGGGATCCCCGGTCCAAAGGATGTGCTGGCTCCGGGCTGTTCTTCCTTGGTGGTGGTGGGATCGTCTCTTTCCCCCCTCTAGGGTGGCTCATTTGAAGCCTAGTGGGATGGCAAAACTGACCAATCCCTTTGGTGGGCCTCAATTACCCTATCACACAGTCCCGCCCAATCACTTGGGTTGGAGTTACAAGACCACAGCTAGAAAGGCCACAGAAAAGTGATCCATGGAACCACAGTGTCGAAAAATATTATATAACCATTACATGACATTTAAATGCAATATAGGCAACTTTGAAATTATGCCTTAGTTGACTTTCAGTGATGATAAACTTTTTATAGTATACTATGAGGTTAAATTAAATACATAAATAAAATCTAGAAATTTCTATGACAAGGGCTATCCCATTCTGTACAATAAATTAGCAAAATTTAAATAATAAATATCTCTTGGTATAATTCTGGTGATTTCCTATATATATATATATATATATATATCTTTATATCTTTTAACTAAAGTTTCTATGATGAGCATGCCATTATTTTATAAAAGAAAGAAGCACCACACTATTTAAGAAAACTGTAATCACCTGCCCCCCTTACCATTCTGTCTCAAAAGGAAAATATATAGATTGTCACTAGTTGAAAAAAATAAAAACAGTAATTCCTCATGTCATTATGAATCATCTGATGTAGCAATTCTTCTTCTATAGTTTTATACTCCCAATTTCTATTTGTGAATTGATGACTAAATGAATAAGAATTGGCACAAAGCTGGTTCCTAGGAAGCTGCGGTCAAGTATATCTCAGCTTTTCCACTTCTCCATTGTCTCTGATACCAGCTGCTGCGTTCGCCATTGCACTGTATTTATCTCCTGAGTTCAGTAATTCACTGCAGCGCCACACAGAACTCACAGACTATACTTAACGGTTATATGGTTTACTAGGGTAAAGGATACCACTTATAAGTAAGGTACAAACAGGCAGGAATAACAGGAGACAACGCAGGAGTAACTTAGGAGCAACAATAAGAGGTACTTGAACAAGATTTGGAAAGGTCTCCGAAGCGGGGGCCATATCTGTCCGCAGGAAGTTCTCCTTCCAGGATTTTGTCCCTCAGAAAGCTGCTTCCAGCCTTAGTGTTTCTGGCTTTTATGCATCAGTCCACACACTCATTATTGGTTACCTCGTGGACTCCAGACTTGTTCCTACTCATCAATAGATATCCTTAGGTGTGGCCAATGTAGCCCAGCTATTCTAAGGTTTTTTTCACAGAGGCCAGGGACAAAGGCCAAACTGCTTGAGGTAAAGTGATTGACTTTTAACCCCATGATGAACAATGTCATGGTGTTTAGGTGATGGAAAGAAAAGATCAGGGGGAAACCAGGAGCTTGCAAGACCCTTAGATATCTGCATTTAAAGTACTCAATTGCCTGCAGTTTACTGTGATTCCGGGACTTCCTCTCGTCTTATCTCCACTCTATTCTGTATAAATGATCCCACAAACTTTCTGAGGCTTCTAAAGTTTAAAACTACTTCAAGATTCGTAATCTTTTATATTTCATTAGTATTTTTTATTGAAATATTGAAGTTGCATTCCACCATATTGAAAATACAAATAAATTTTCTGTCTGAATTTATTTTAAAACGACTCTGAAAATGAAAAAAAGACTATACATTCTAATGTAGTGATTAATATAGAACAAAAATAACTTTGTGATCATAATTAGGGGATTTCATTAACCTTGAAATCAATGGCATAAAACAAGCTATGATAACATACTGTATCCAAGGGGACATCATTATGCGTACGCTTCTTTGGGCTAGTTTGCATATTTTCCATCTGAAGACTGTTTACCTATACAGTGTTGATCTTGAATCATATAACTCTTTGATTCAAACTATAATAACAAGGTCATAAATTAAGTATGTTCTAAATTTCTTGCTTTGCTTTATCCAGTGAAACAATTATTTTTGCTTATAAAATACTGCTCAACTTTTAAGGCTGCATACAGTAATTTGGATTTTTTGTTTTAACCTATTTTATTTAAATATACTTTGGGAATAAGATACTATGTGTCTGCTAATGTTTAAGATTTTAGTAAATACTATTTTATATATGAAGTCTGTTTTATAAACATCGTAAGGAAAATGAGGCACAGTAAAATTTCACACTCATTTTATTTAGTTTATTCATTTATTAATTGAACTGCATGTTTGTATTCATGCTTTGTTGTGAAATAAATTTCAGAGAATTTTGTTAGTATGGAATTTTTAACTTTTTGGTATTTGCTATACATTGTTGCAATTCATTATAATTTACAACGTGTTTTTAGCACTTTCAAACTGAGGAGTAACTCCATTGCACTGGAACAAAATAGTCACATTTTCAAGTAGTCATATGCAGAAATTAACCCTCCACAAAAACCATCATTATTTAGCTATAGCTGTCAACATTTAGTGTATTTATTAACCTACATTTACCCATATATTTGTGTAAAAGAAGAAATTTTGCCCAAAATTTCGTTCAGAATTTCTTAGTATAGTTATTTAAACTTTACTTATTTTATGAGAAAAATTAAATAACTCAAGATCACTTGCTATATATTCATGTTGTAAGCAATAGCATGACTTTATCAAAAAATTACTGTAGTTGGAATAATAATATCTAAATGTAGTTCCAACTACATAAATAACTAAGCTGTATTTTAATGTTGAAAAAGTTTAGGTGTTTTATTTAGACGTGTTTTAGAGTTCACAAAGAGGGTTCTATGTCCCCAAAGAAGGCACTATAACTTATACAACAGAGGACAAGTCAGCCAACATTATAGCATTAGAAATATGTCTATATTCACCTTTTTTTTTTTTTACTATATAAATGAAGAAATATAATGAAAGTAAAGTATGGTTAAAACTAGTAAATCTTCCTTGTGAGTGTGAGAGTATATGGTTCTAACATCTAGAAAAATGACTAAAATAATTTCTGTTTAAACTTAATTCAACTTAGAATATTTACTTTACTATTATTATTTTTAACTTTAGGGGAAACTTGGTGTTCCAGGCCTACCGGGTTATCCAGGAAGACAAGGTCCAAAGGTAAAAAAATTATCTTGATTTCCGTAATTTATTTATCAACATTTTGGGTGAACTCTCAAAATTAACCACCAGTGGTTCCCTTGTAGTTATAGATGGGAATCTTGAAAATATAATATCACAAAGGATAATCATTAGGACTGTGGGTGCCCCGAGTGGAGGAAAGTCAGAGATCCTAGGTGGTAATGGATTAGAGTACTTTAGGAGACAGGGTCATAAAAGGAGGACGTAGAGTCAGGTACTACATACACTCAGTTGAAATAAGGAGTATTTCACAGATGAACCCTAGTTTATCTAGAAATTTGAAGTGGATGACAGGTATTAAATATTACCTGATTTCATTTCTAGTACCCTAAGGGTCTGAATTACCATTTGATATATTTTTAGAAAATGATTATAATACATCTTCCACCTTATTTATTGACCCTTATTCCTACCGTTTATTAGTTTCCTGTGACTGCCATAACAAATTACCAAAACTTGATGGCTTGAAACAATTTAGAAATTTATTTTATCAGAGTTCTGGAGGCCAGAAGTCTGAAAGCAAGGTGTTGACAGGGCTGTCTTGCCTCTGAAGGCTGTAGGGGAGGACACTTCCTTGTCTCTTCTAGCTTCTTCAGCTCCAGGCATTCCTTGGCTGTGGCTGTATAACTCCAGTCTCTGTCTCTATCTTTACATGGCCTTCTCCTTTGTGGGAGTGTGTTTTTTCCTCTTGTGTTTCTTATAAGGACACTTGTCATTGGTTCTAGGACCTACCCAGGTAATCCTGGATGACCTCATCTCAAGATCCTTAACTTAATTACATCTGCAAAGACTCTTTTACAGAATAAGATCACATTCACGATTCCAGGTATCTGGACATGGACATATCTTTTTGGGCGCCACTATTCAACCCACTACCCATCCAGATCCTATTTTTGACCCTTTTCAATATGCATATCATAATCATAAGGATGTATTTTTTGTTATTTGTTGCCATCTCATGGCTCTGACTCATGGCAACCCCATGTATAACAGGTGTGCCAAGGTCCGAGGTCATCACAGAAGACACAAACTACACACTCTAGCGCATGGTATAACACTTTACTCATATAAAGAAGAGACAGAGCAAAATCAGCTTCAGTTGTGGGCACTGGTCTCCTGTGGCCAACAAGTCCCCCCTCACGGCCAGTGCAGGGCAGATGTTCCATGCACACCCCTCTCATGCCTTGTCAAAGGAGAGACCCTGTTCCCTTCTCACTGGGAACAGATAGAGAAATGGGGTTGGCCAGGTGCCATATGGTACCTGCACATGAGCAAGACTCAGAGAACTTAATCGTGTGCTCAGAAAAGGGAGGAAGGCTTCTCCAGTAAGAAGGGGCCAGGAGAGAGAGAGAGAGAGAGACCCAGTTTCCAGCCTCCTTTTCAGAGAATGATCTGGGCCCAAGGCCTTTGTGTAGGCAGCTTGGACAGGAAACATAGAGGCGGACCATCCTCCCAACAATAACAGAATGAAACATTAGTTGGTCCTGTGCCATTTTCATGACCATTGGTGTGTTTGAGTCCATTGTTCCGGCTATTGAGTCCATCTCATTGAGAGTTTCCCTCATTTCCACTGACCCTCTACCACACATGATGTTTTTTTCTGTTAATCTTTCCAGATGATGTGTCCAAAGTAAGCGAGTCAAAGTCTTGCTATCCTCGCTTCTAAGGAGCATTCTGGTTGCATTTCTTCTAACTCTGATTTGTTCATTCTCTTGGCAGCCCATAGTATATTCAGTATTCTTTACCAGCACCACAGTTCAAATACATCAATTCTTTATCTGACTTCCTTTGTCACTGTCCAGCTTTCACATGCATATGAGGCAATTGAAAAGACAATGGCTTGGGTCAGGTTCACCTTAGACATAAAGGACATCTTTGCTTTTTAAAACTTCAAACAGGTCCTTTGCAGTAAATTTACCCAATGCCATATGTCATTTGATTTCTTGAGTGCTACTTCCATGAACATTGACTGTTGATTCGATTAGAGTGAGATGGCTTTAAACATGCGTGTTTATTTAAGCATACTAAATTTCCTTAAGCTAATCATAAAACGTTTTGAAGACTGCACTTATGCATTGACTAGTTATCTTAAGGTGGTTAAACGAATTAATATATAAATGCTGGTTATTCATATTAGGATAGTTAATACCATTCTTTTCATTATACATACATGAGATTATCCATGGATGGATGCATCAGTTGATCAATCCATCCAGTCGATCCATCGATCCATCCTTCAACCCATCCATCCATCTATCCATCTATCCATCCATCCATCCATCCATCCATCCATCTATCTATCTATCTATCTATCCAAGTTTGACACATTCAGGCATGACAGGTATAGTAGATAAGCTCTACTCTTAGTTTATATAATATCACCAAAAGTATACTTAATACATTTCACAGATAATCAATGGGGTATAAAAAATGTCCTACCTTCTGACAAATGTGAAGTGTACTGTACTTATATTTACTCATCATTTGATGATACTGTATTAGTCTTATTTAATTTTGTCTTATAATTTTTAAATTGATTTTCCAGTAATATCCCTTGTGTAGTGGAAGGTAAATATGTTTTGAGCACTTGCAAAATAAGATCATGTTGTTTATGATTTAAAAATAATGTAAGAATCATTTAAATTTTTATGGCTACATTCTGAACACTAATTAGAAAAGTTTACCTTCTAAATATTATCTTTAATATGCTGTACTGTCTCCCAGTTAACTTTTCTTTTAAACTTCAAGCATTTTCACAAATACTTTAAGTAAAAGAAGCCAGTCACTGCTAGACTGAAGACCTTATGCTATCCTTAGGTTATTTTACGAATTCTTGATCTACTTACTAATTTGAATTGCAGCTGTAGCGGTGTTTTGTTTTGATTTAAAAACATAGAAAACTGTTATAATATTACTTGAACAAGCCCAATTTTCTTTTATGAGTTTATTTTATATTCTGGTCTTTTTCTATTTTTCCTAAACTCTCTGATCAGTAATCTTTGAGTTTTGTTTATCAACAAAATGCAACAGAATGACTGAAGAGAAATGTTTCTTCCTGGAGGAATCAAGCATTTTCCTTACCCTTTAACATGAATATCTGAAATTTTTGTTTCTATTTATTTTTTATATTGCCTTTTTCATAACTTTTCTGTTATCAAAAAACTTTTAGGTTTCTCAGTTCTAAAACAAAAAAAATTACCGACATATCAAAGATCAGAGATAGCTCTACATTTTTTCCTATGTGGATGCCTATGAATTTTGAATATATTTAAATATTTATTGTACTAAAAGTGAAATCTGGCTACTAATCTCTTTGAAGCAGTTTAAGGACTACAATCAGATGCTATATTTTATTCACTATTATCTTAGTGATAATATAAGCCATAATGGATATTCAAAAGAAATACCACCAATGTATTATAAAATGATAGATGTTTAAAAAATAAAATCTATTTTAAGATAGGGTTTGTTTATATTTAAGACAGCATTAAAAATAATTTTGAAAGATTCACATTTATTGACTAAGCCAATTTCACCATTAACCTTTTGCTTTTTGGCATTTTTTTGTTTTTTTTTTTTTTTTTATAAAAGCAGGTAATAACTTTACATGGAAATGTATATTTTGTTGACAATCGCTTATATGGGAAAAGACAAATAATATGCCCATATATTAGAAAGTGTTTAATTAATGGGTTAAACATTTTTGTCTGTTTCCTAGCAATTTCTTAGAGCAGAAACTTTGTAAGATATAAGCTTATTATAAATAAAATTGGTAAATAAATCTGTTTAAATGGAGCCTATTTATAAATTTGATTAGTTATCTAGTCTTCTCAAGACAGAGATGAACACTTATTCCCAAATAATATTTAATAAATGTAAATGATTTCCATATCAGGTTATATTCACCTATCAAATTCTTAGGATAATCACATAGTGATACTCAATCATATGTAAGTCTGTCTGATTCTCTGAAGAGAAGGGGAAGAAACTTTGAAGTCCTTCAAAAATGTAGCTTTTGGAGACTTTTTTCCCCCCAGTACGTGGCTATTTTGTATCTTAACAATTGTTCCATGTGGATTATACAGTCAGCTCTGTAGCCCTTAATCAGAATATATTAGAAAATGAGTCATAAAAAGAAGCTTAGTAGTGCATACTTTGGATTATTATTTTGACCATAAGCTTCCGTAAGTTTTCACACACATTTTTTCTGACCTGCTTTATAGCCCTTGTGAAGGAAATATAAATTAATAGCATCCAGCCAGCCTGCTTGATATGTAATGTTGACTCCCCTCACTTTGGGACCATATGTGTCACCTGGAGAGGTCGTTAAGAATGCAGCTGCCTTGACCCCACTGCCAGACAGTCTGTTTCAGTAGGTCTGGAGTGGACGCTAATAATCCATATTTTCAGCCATCACTCCAGATGATCCTGATATAGAGGAGCCATGTATCACTTGGAGAAACATTAGGGTAGTTCAATGCAGGTGACTGGATGAAAAAGCAAAAAATGTATCCAAATCGAAGAAGACTTTGTTATATCTCCCTTAGTGAATGGGGAAGTGTGTAAAATTTGAATGCCTGTTACTCTTTGCTAGATATTTTGCACATTATTGTATTTAATCCATACAGTGATCTAAATTGGAAAAGTAAAAAAGAAGTTTGCTTACTTTTTTTTGCTAGGGTCTCATAATAAGTTGAGGAGCAATGATTTGAACCCTAATTTGCTCTAATTCGTAACACAATGATGAAGCAAACCAATCACAGTTATGATCAAAGGACTCTTTCAGCAGATGAATACCTGGATTTATGCACAAGGCAGAACAGGGGAATTTGGTTACTGGGGATTATATTATATTCCATGTGTAAAATGTGCCCATTTCTAGACTAAATGAAATAATGCTTGTGATGTGCTTATCACACTGCTAAATAATCATCATGTATTGTTATCTGTCATTATAATTGTTATATTCTGCTTTGCTTTATTCCAAACCCCACGAATTCCAAAGAACCTGTAAGATGTGTATTATTGTCCTCATTTTGTGGAAGAAAAAAAAACTACCCTCAACGAGGCTAAGTAGCGTACTCAACTTACATAGATGATGCACGATTATCATAAATCTTGAACTTACCTATTTAGAATTACAAAATTAAGAGTCTAATGCCGGACTCTCTGACTTAGACACTTAGCTAGATCTAACATATTCAAACACCAAACAAAGAAGATGAAGGAAGGTTTTTGTCTAAATGATTTGATCCCATTTTAAAGGTATAAAAATATTTAACTAAAAGCAGTTTTTCTAATGAAGTAAAATTCTGTTTACTTTTTATTATCAGTCAAATTGTGATATTTTGTGAATGATAAAAATTAAAATAATCATGCACATTGGGTTTTGGAAAAGACACAGGTAAAATATTTTAATAAATATATGAAATTTCATAATAACTAATCACATTTGAATATCCAAATGTCTTCTGAAAAAGAGATAAATATAAAAATACAATAATGTTAATTCTGTAAAAACATTTTATAAAATTTCTATTTTAATATTTGATTTTTCATACTTGCAAAAAATAGGATTTTCTTTAAAGTTGAAGCAAATGTATAGAATTGTAAGTAAAAAATATATTTTTACACAAAATACCCTTTAAATGCTAATTTCTAATAGGAGAATTATAATATTTGATTAATTATTTTATTTTTAAAGTTGAAAACTAAAATATGTTTTATCAATTCACACTTTCAATGCTTTCAGGATTTCAGATATCATGGTAAGTATGTTTTCAAATACATGAATCAAGGTTGCATGATAGCTTAAAATTATATTTTTGATTTAAATACTACCAATTCTGTCAGAATCACTGTGTTTCAAAAGAATTATAGCCTGCCACTGAAACTGTTAATCACCTCATATTTATTATCATTATTATTATTATTGTAGGGTTCCACGGGATTTCCTGGATTCCCGGGTGCTAATGGAGAGAAAGGTGCAAGGGTATGATATATAAGTATATTGTTCTGGACTAGCTAATATAAATGTTCTTGCATGAATGCCCATCTCTCAGCATCAGACCCATAATTTACCATAAAATGGTGCATACTGAAACTGTTTGAACTGTCTTTGGCAGGGTATAGCTGGCAAACCAGGCCCTCGGGGTCAGCGTGGTCCAACGGTGGGTGCTTTCATTTAAAATGATGATTAGCATTTTTTATTTTTGGATTTAGTAATTCAAGATATATATTTTTCAAATACAAAAATTGATTTCTATGCCTTGCATTTGCTTGGCACTAAATCACTTTCATCTTTTGTTCTCATATGCAGGGTCCTCGAGGTTCAAGGGGTGCAAGAGGCCCCACTGGTAAACCTGGTCCAAAGGTATCGTTGTCACTTATTCCATTCTGGGCTTTGCTGTAAGTACCTTCTTCCAGACAAAGGATTCTGTGAGAATCAATCAAATCTGATTTTTCTCTGTTTTTCTGTTGCTAGGGTACCTCAGGTGGTGATGGCCCCCCTGGCCCTCCAGGTGAAAGAGTACGTATAATACAGCCACATAATGTAAAGCAAAAATTTATATTTTGCAAGTGTTTATATTTATGAGAACAAGTACATCTGTCTGCAAATACATGTACACAGTCATCCACAAAGTCCTTATCAAAGTTAAGAAATTCCTTATTCTTTAATTTACTCCTCTGAAGAAAATACTTAATTGGTTCTGTATTATTAATTTTATTATAGAAATGAGAGAAATAGTGTGTATAATTGACCTAAATATAACTCTTAAACTCAAGCCAAAACGTTTGAAAACTATACATAAAATACCTTTGCTCTCTCCTCCATTCCTCTTGCTTTCCATATTGGTATTCATTTTGTCCAAGGAGCAGGCAGAAGCATTATGCTGGTGAAATGCAAGCTATCAGTAGCCATTAAACCACAATCGATATACATTCAAATCAAGATAAAACATCTATTCCAGTAAATAGAAAAGCTATTTAGTAAATTGATTTTCAATTGATATAAAATAAAGCTAAATACAGATGAGCAAGCATGTCCTTTTTTTGGCTTATTTGGCAAAATATAGCATTTTTGTTGCCAGATTTTTTTAAAGCTATCCTCTTGCCAGAATTTTAAATATTAAAATCTTTATTACTGTGAGACAAATCAGACTTATTTATAATATATTATAATAACTTTTCAGTAATATGCAACTTTATATTAAGATATATTTGTATATTATTTTTCAAAATTTATATTAGATATTTTAGAAAAAGAAAAAAAACACTGATGTATAACTTAAATCTGAGGATGAGTATATACATATATATATATTTTTTTGAGTAAGGAAGAATGAATCAAACTTAGTGTCTTTCTATCTGTGATACAAATGTTGGTAGGTAGGAAAATGGGACACAAGAATAAACTTTTAATTAGCGTTGTTTTAAGGCTTTGACTCATGTTTGATTAACATTACTGTAAAATAAATGGCGTGGTGGCATCTGACCTCCTCTAACTTCACAAGGCGGAGAAGAGAGAATCAAAATTGTCAGTGCAAGGCTGATGATTCCTATGAGGTAGAGGTCAAACATACCTCGACCCTCCAATACCTGCACCCTTTAACCTATTTACCAATTCTGACACCAGCTGTCCCTTCCATGGCAGTCTCTACTTCTCTGCTGTGTTCGATAATTCGTTGCAGTGGCCACACAGAACTCACAGACCATACTCACAGTTAGGGGATTTATTAGGGAAGTAACAGGTTACAACTCTGGATCAGGATCAGGAAGCATGTAGACTAAGTCTCCCTTCTTCAGTGCAGGACAGCTTTCTTTGCTCCTTTCAGACCTCTCATTTGTTAAAGTGAAACTAATTTACTTTGTAAACCTTCATCTAAAGCACAATTTAAAAAAAAAAGACAAATACTAACCAAACTGTATTACTTAATAGATTTTATTTATATTATCTCCTACTTTACATCTCTTCCTCTTAAAATATAATAACTATATTCCTAGTATATAAAGGACTATCTTTTACCAAACATTTGTTCTGTCAGCAACACAGACATTGTAATAAGGTATACTTTATGCATTTTAAAGATATGTAAATATGAGAGTTGAAAAATATAGTTAATGAAGCATCAAGCCAAGAATAGTATTATAAATATATATTTGAACTGTATGTTAATGAGGATAATTGTACAATAAGGCTCTTTTCATCTTGTCTACAAAAGAAATTTATACATGAGTAAAATTAGATATTGACATCCTCAAAAAATAATTTATTTTAAAATACAGCGATGAGTTAAAAATGATGGTCTTTTTGAGATAATCTCATATTTTTGTATCTTTCCCTTTATTTCTTTGTGACTAAAGCCAGAACATTTATAAAATTAATTTAAAAAATAATTTTTCTTTTTTGGGATTTTGGGGGTGAAATAGCCTCCTTGAAATGTTTCTAGTCAATGTTAGAAAAACTGCTGAACTTCTTGATAAATGCATGTTTTATTCATTTTAGCATTCTAAATATTTATAGTGTTCTTAAGTTAAGAATATTGGTGTTACTCAGTAAGAATATTGTGTGACAAGTACCCATTTTGCTTCGGATTAACACCAGTAATCTTGTCTCTTGCGATAGTTCTGTCATTATGGTGCAGAAGATGTATGCTATGTTGTATTTTATCAGTAGAAATAAACTGCAGTGTATGAAGATGTACCTGGTAAGGCATAGTCTTAAATTTTCCCCACGTTCTTTACTTTCAGGGCCCTCAAGGACCACAGGGCCCAGTTGGATTCCCTGGACCAAAAGGCCCTCCTGTAAGTGTCATAGTTTCTATTTTTCTTTCTTCACTTTTCAGTCTTTTCAAATTTTTGAGTCATACTTTTTATTTTAAATAATTTTTAGATATAAATATTGATAAAATCTAGACAGTAAATAGAAATTAATAATGTCAAATAGTATAGATATTTTATATTTATGAAGTTCATCAATTATTTCTGAATATAATTTAATCATGTCTTATTAAGTATTCTTTTAAAGCATATTAAACTAGAACAACATGAATATTATTCACTGTCACTGCTCTATTATAATGAATATTATTTATGGCATTAATACTTGTTACCAAACCTTAAAGACTTGGTGTCTCAGAATTTTCCCTTGATCTTCCATTCTCAAATGTATCCTTCTCCAAATATTACTTCCTAACTAAACCCCCTCTGGAGTCTCTGGGTAGTATAGTTAATGACAGTGGGTGCTAACCAGAATGTTGGAGTTTGAGTCCATCCAGAGACACCTTGGAAGAAAAGCCTGGGATGTACTTCTGAAAAATCAGCCATTGAAAACCCTATGGAGCACAGTTCTACTCTGACATACATAGGGTTGCTATGAGTCAGAATCGACTCAGCAGAAACTGATAAAAACAAAACTAAACTAAAAACCCACCAATGTTCTGATATCACATCAAAACTTTTTTCTTTTTTGCTTCTATATTGCATTCTTCTTTGAACATGAACTTATAAACCTTTTGGAATCATCTCCCTTTTATAAATTTTATTTAGAGTAATACTCTTTTGAATCTAGGCAGTCCCCAGGTTACAAACATCTGACTTATGGACAACTCCTACTTGCCCTTTATTGTTATGTAAATTTTTCCTCACTTTGAAACAACTGAACCAGCTTCTGCTTACAACAAATTCATCACAATCACCTTCACTTGCTGCATGTGCAGCTTTTAAATCATTACAAAGTCTTCACCCTTTTCTTGCAGTAAAGTAAGGCTAAATAGGAACCATATACACCTGTTTGGACTTACCTTCACATTCAACTTAAAGAGACTGTTAGGAATGGATCTTGATCGTAACCCAAGGACTGCCTGTATGGTCATCAAATATCTTCATAAAGTTAATCGAAAATCTTTATTTCATACTTAGGGGACATAGGGCATGCTCAGTTGTTTTCATTTGTTCGCAGCCCATTCCATTTCTAAGAGTTAGAATCATCCTCTCTAGGGCATTGGTTCTCAAAGTGTGGTCCCTGAACCAACAGCATCAACAGCACTTGGAACAATGTTAGAATTGTAGTCTTCGCTGCTCCCCTAACCTCCCTCCCCACCTAATCAGAACCTAATCAATGTTTTAACAAACCTTTCAGGTGGTTCTGATGCATGCTAAAGTTTTGAACCACTGACCTAGTCTAGACTAAACAATGCTACTCAAACTTAAAGTGCATATAAACCACCTTGGTATCTTGTTAAAAATGTAGATTTTTGATTCAGTAGGCCTGAGTAGTTCTTGAGACTCAACATTACTATCAAGTACCCAGGTGATGCCAGTGCTACTGGTCCATGGACCACACTTTGAGTAGCAAAGTTCTAGATTATTTTGGCAGAAAATAAAACCAACATAATTTGAGTATGTCGTATTCTTCAAGAATCTAAATGTACTTAAGATTTTCAGTTAATGATTATATGAATCTAATGTTTTTCCATCACAGAAATAAAAAGAACTAATTTCCAGTGAATCATTACTAGTATTTTTATTCACATCTTGTATATGTTTATTTAGAAGCACATTGACAATACATTTTTAAGCTGAATCTTTTGAACTGAATTTTTTGACAGAACCACAGTGTGTACCGTGAATGAGTATGTTATTTTAGTTTTTTAACATATGCCACTATTTCAAAAATTTTACAGCCTAGTTTTCTAATTTCAAGTAATTATAATCAAGTCTGATCCAATAAAGTATTTCATAAAGGAACAGTTCAGAAAAATTTCAGTATGTCAAAATATGTCAGTGTTATTTCTGGTTACATAATATTTTTAAAACTCTTGAAAATAATTTATAAGTAAATAAATATGTTCACTAATTTTAATTGATTTTGAATAGACCTCTGTTTCACTGATAAGTTTCAAATGTAGTTTTAGTTCACATCTTTAAAAACTGAATTATTTATTGTGAATAAATTGAGTTTCATTGTGTAGCTGAAATACTGACTTTATTAAATGTTAAGGCAATTTCCTTAAGACATGATGCTTACAGTATTATTTTAACACTAAACAATTTTGTATTATTACTGTAAAAATATCGAGAAAATATGTATATTATAGTGTTAAAAAGATCAATGCAAATAGCTAGTATGCAATATTGATAGAATATGTATATAATGTTGCTCACCATTACCTCAGTTGTACTCTAAATGTCACATTAAGTCTATCTGTGCAGTTTTGTAGAAGGAGAAGTGAAAACACACTTCCAATAATTATTTATGCCTAAGAATTTTTTCACAAGCCTTTTCATAAGTATTTTGAAACCATGTGCATATATCATTATGTAGCACCATAAAACCAAATGATATGTGCAACCTTAACATTATTATATCATTTATATTTGTAAATATTTTTAAGAATATCTTCGATCATGCAATATAATTTTATTGACAAAGAAAGCAGTTTGACCCATTTTTCCTCAGACTTTTTCAATCTATTCTTTCATGTAGTTTTCAACAAGTTTTGAAGCATTGATTATGCATGTATTATGTCTCTAAGAGCGATTAGAAGTATAATAAATACTTACACTTGAGAAGTATATAGTCTAGTTGGGGAGACATGACGCTGTTAAGGAGCATTGCTTTCACTGCTAAACAAAATGGTTTTTATACTCTACTTCTCTGACAAGTGAAACAGTACAGCAAAAACTAAAAGTACCTGTCATGGCTCTGGCATGCAGTTTTATGAAGTTTGTGAAAGAAATGCTTTCAACTATTTGATAAAGAAGAAATGGGGGTGGAGGGATAGAACCAAGCTCTTTCTTCAAACGAATTAGTTCATCTTCCTTGTTACCAGGAAAAAGAACAAAATTGTGTGTTTGTATATAATGGGGTTCCTAGATGGTCAAATGATTAACATGCTTGGCTGCCAATTGAGAGGTTATCAGTTCGAGTCCACTCAGAAGCACCTTGGAAGAAAGGCCTGGTGATCTACTTCCAAAAATCAGCCATTGAAACCCTATGGAGCACAGTTCTATTCTGACACATATGAGGTCACCATGAGTCAGAATCAACTCCAGTGTTACTGATTTTGTATATATAAAACAGATACACAGATATGGATCGAGTACTTGAAATGTTCACCTTTTAATTCTATTACTCTTATGTCAATGTTAACATACTTTTGAAGTACTATATTTTTATGCAAGTAACACACTACTTCTATGTTTATTTGCCAACCGCACCCTCCTCTGTGAGTTATTTTCTCAAGTGCCGCTATGCCAATTTTTTTTTACATGTTGCTGTTAAAAAAAAAAAAACAAAAAACTAGTATGGTGTGCTTATGAAAATACTTTGTGGAGGGAGGGTGCAGTTGGCAAATAAACATAGAAGACACACATTAGTTGCATTAAAATGTGATATATAGTCATTCCATTTAAGATAAAATTTTAACTTAAGGTGATTAAGATTTATAGTATTACTATTGTGGGATGCATTCTATTTATAGAAGAGGAAAAGTCAAAATTCGGTGCCAATGGGAAGTGAAAAAAGCATCCCTAACGTTTATTCATAAATATCTTTGCACAGATTGCCTTGCCATATATGTACACCCTCATTTAGATGATTTTATTTCTGCTGACCTTTACCAATTAGATCAAAGGTATAGTCTCTACTGATCAATAAAATTATTTTTAAATAAATGCCATAAAATTCTTTGGTAATTAGTCTGCTGTATTTTATTTGTTGGTAGTTTAGAGTCAACTGCTTAATTTTCAAAATACATCCTTAAGTCAAGAAAAATGATGATGACACCAATATTTATGAAGTCCCTTAACACTACTCTCTCAGACTGCCTAGGAAAGCCATTAAAGTCATGTTGTATTAATCCCAGGGTGACAACATTTAGGTCTAAGATCAGTGTTTTAAAGGATTATAACATTTTACAACAGAAATATAATCTATGCTTCTAACATTAGCAAATAGAATGTGCTGATGGTAAAACACACCATTTGAGAGGCATTTTAGTATGATGGAAAGAAAGCCAGATTCATTTTTATTATCCGTTAGCTGTCAGCCTGTCTATTTTTAGGTAAACCTGTTATTGCTGCCCCAGAATGTTAGCACATTTATTCCTGTCTGTGTCAAGATAGTGTTAAAGCCAAGAAATTGTTATTTACTCTTTTGAAATAATGAACCTAGATGAAGTCTAAACCTCCCCAAAAAAACCCAACCCACTGCCATCGAGTTGATTCTGATAGTGACTCTGTAGGACAGAGTAGGACAGAATAGAACTGTCCTATAGGTTTTGAAGGCTATAATCTTTACAGAAGCAGAGATTGCCACATCTTTCTCCCGGGAAGCGGCTGGTGGTTCAAACTGCCAACCGTTTGGTTAGCAGCCGAGCGCTTTAACTGTGGCACCACTAGTGCTCCTCTCAGATGAAATCAATTAACTGTGCACTTCTGTGTTTCACTACAAAAGTGAGCACAGAGCTACATCTTATGTTACTGTAACCTAATATCTAACCCATTGGTATGTATATGTGTTATTATTAAGTGATGTTCAAGAATGTTTTGTGCCCTTAGTTTAAAAAACCTAGTTTTGGTCTTTTGGGAAGATAGCATCAGATCCCTGAGGTGGTCCTAGAAAACATGACCAAATGTCTGAGCAAGCATTGATCCTGTGAAATATCACAGTAGTTTTAAATTAGAGTTGGTATTTCACATGGCAACTAGTGTATCTGTATGAATGAGATAGATCTACAGGTCAGAGATACTACTGGCCGTTTGAGGAAGGCTTTCTCTTGAAGTATGCCAGTCAACCTATAAAAGGCTTTCTTAGGTGGAAAAAAGCTATTTATGAACTCAGTTTTGTTTGAACTCAATTTACATTAATATATAAAAATAATTTGTATTTCAATATAGATTTATTAAATAATTAAATAGTGAGAGGTATATCTGTTGTACTAAAAGTGTTGTTATTAAAAATGATTAATTGTCCCTATGTGTCCAGTAAGCTGAGAATATTTCTGCCTATACCTATTAAACATGTTTTCATATTTGAACTTGATACTTGATAGTTTCTTAAAAAGGATGTATAATCCGTAAGGCAGTCTGAAAAAACAATCTATTTCTACTAAGTATTTAAAACATAGGAACCTCACAGAGTTATTTATTTAAAATACTTAATTGCTTCATTTATTACTTCAAATATGACAAATACAGCATGCTTTACAGAAAGCAATAGCATAGTAAATTTGCTTCCCAGTAATTAATAAGCATAGGCTTCCAAGAGGATATTTAAGAAAACCTACTGGAAAAAAATTGGTCCTGATTATTCCAGAATTGAGCATAGCATATTGTTTCCTTTATTTAAAGCTATTGAAAGGAAAAGTGCCACTGTTTTTATAAAAGTCTGTATTTTTTTCACATTCTTTTCAATTAGACGCTCAGCTTACCACTAGAGGACACTGTCTTTCTCTGTTACCCAAGTCAGAGTGCTTAGGGAATTTAATTAAGAACAGATCACCAAAAACAGGGGAGAATATTCATTTGTCAAACACCAGAGTACCAATATTTTTTGCAAAAATGAAAATACAAAGCTTTACAGATGCACTTTTATAAGACATAGATGCAAATGAAATACATCAATTTAAATATCAAATGTTTACATAGAGTTCTACAATTTTCTCTTGGTCTCAGTAATAGGTGTACAGTGAGACTAAGGAGATACATGTGTGTATTACCATATAGAAGAGCAATGAAATATCAAAATACTGTATTTAATAGGAATATCGTTCATCATACCCTGGTGGCATAGTGGTTAAGAGCTATGGCTGCTAACCAAAAGATCGGCAGTTCAAATCCACCAGGTGCTCTTTGGAAACCCTATGGGGCAGTTACACTCTATCCTATAGGGTCGCTCTGAGTTGGAATCGACTCAACGGCAACGGGTTGGTTTTTTTTGTTTTATATTACATTTATGCTATAAAATAATTCAGGAAATATTTATGAAATGTGATGTTTAATATTTGTGATTTCAGGGACCACCTGGAAAGGATGGACTGCCCGGACACCCTGGACAACGTGGGGAGACTGTAAGTGACCTGATTCTTCCTGATAGAAATTTTCCATCTTTAATACCTCAACAGTTCACAGAAACTGCTTGATTTTTAACAGTTCAATTACATGGTTAGGGACAATGGCAGAGTTTATTCCATTAAACACCTTATTAAAATATATAAATAAATAAAGACATAAATGGACCCATGTTTGTTCCTAAATTAATATACTTGAGGAATTAGGATGTCAGATGATATAAATGCTCTTTTAATCATTGGCAGTACTTCAGGGAACGAGCTGAAGGAGATGACCCCATTATTTTCTGGGAACCTCCCCAAAGTTGTCACCTTGACCCCTTTGAAACTGCTTCACTGAAGTCTTTGTTTACAGATACATTCCACCCACTTCATAGTCTCCAAAGAAACACTATAATAAGCCATGGAGATAATATAAAATACTTATGTCCGATACTAAGGGATGAAATGGTTACCCAGATTGGAACCATAAGGCTATAATTGGTCTGGAGCAATATAAATGGATCTTCTCACCTCAAATAGGAAAATGTAAATGGGAAAATATAATTGAATTTTATTTTAAAACTTCAAGAAATATTCTTTGAAATTTTAAAATATTAAACAAACTTCAAGGCATTAAATAAATAGGTTGAACAATTTATCATGCGTAAACAATGATTTGGGCAGAGTGAGAAACTCTTCCTCCTGGCAGCTCAGTTGTTTAAGGATTGTGGTGGGTTTGTTTGTTGATTTATTTATTCTGCCACTGTGACAAAACCATGCGTCTGGCTCTCCCAGTGGGTTGTTAGTCTAATCAGAAATCATCATGAGTTGGCACGTTTCCTTGGAATCAATTCCCTGTTTTCACCATTGATTAATTTTATCCAGATTTCTTAAGGAGATCACCACACAGACAACCATTGACTATGTAGTTTAAAATCATTTTAGGGCATTCTTCCAGTGTGAGAACATATTTGAGGTTCCATTGCAGTACCTGGTGACAACTAAAAACATGATGAATTTTCTGCTGTGGGGAAAAAATCTGTCAGCACCAACCCATTTCCTGTTTCAGTCACCAAGTAATGATTTTTAGTTTAACAATTTCTTCATTTTAGTCAGATTAGAAACCTCAAAAGCAGAATCAAAAATGACTTAGTGAGACCTAAGAATGACAGGGTTTGGCTTTCCTCCTGGGCATGGAATCTTCATGAGGGGCATAAAGTAAACTCTCTAAAGAAGAATTCAGAAGGTGGGCAAGATGGCAAAGTGAATGGTTGCTCCCGTTTATTCCTCCAGCAACTAACCCACTGAACAACTAATACAAACAAGCACAGACTGAGATCTCAGAACTCTGGATAGCAGCGGAGATGCTGGAGAGGTGAGGTGAGTCCAGAAGCATGGGAAAGGAGGAGGGAAGACGGCACAGAAGCTGGGAGAAACTACCCGCTAACATCTGGAGCACTCACTCATCATAGCCATTTTGGGGCAAGGCTGGGCAACACCCCAAACAGGGAACACAGAAAGGGAGCTAATCTGAGGAAGCTGTAGCCAGTTTTTTTAAGGTGGTGCAGACTGGCTGTGGGAGTTCACAGCCATACAATTGAAAACGGCGAAGGGAGACTGGCGCTGTGAGAGAGTGCTGTTGAATCTCCCTGAGGCATGAGATGGACAAGCACTAGGACCAGGAGGAACTGTAAGGGCATCAGGGTGAATGGAATACTTTGGATGAACGAGCAACACAGAGGGAAATTGCTGGCTCCCTGCCATAGGAGAGCCTGCGCAGGGGCACCAGTGAGGGAAAGACACAGACAGCCCCTGACCTTTGCCACAGGAAAGTCAAGCTCCATCACGTATGTCAGCGCTGGGACCAGCTAAAACTCCCACATTCACAAATGTGTATTGTATTCTAGAGATCAAGCCTTCAGAATTCTTGAATCAGCACTGAAAAAAACCTAAGGATAAGAGTGACCTCTACTGGTTCTCAGGAGAAGATACCAGGCCCACTGCCACTGAGTTGATCCTGACCCATAAGACCCTGTAGGGTGGAGTGGAGCTTCCCCATGGGGTTTCCAGGGCTGTGAGTCATTGTGGAGGTGGTCTGCTGTTATTTTCTCACACGGAGCGGCTGGTTGGTGTGGACCCCAGCCTTTTCATTTGCAGCCAGGTACTTGACCGCTGCGCCACCAGGAAGCCCAATCAGAGAATTTTCCCACAAAACTCAGAATACAAAATTTAAAGAAAGAAAAAAAAAATTAATAAAATAGCCCAAGTTCAACAAAAAATAATAAAACACACAAAATCATAAGAGAAGAAGGACCAACCAAAAGCAAAATATGAAGAAGAGGAAATTTCTCCTACAGAGGCGAGACTAATGGAACAAATAGAAAATTTTCAAAGTATGGTGCTAAATATGTTTAAAGAAAGCTAAAATCACTCAAAAAGAAACGAGCAGAGATCAGGAAACAAATGGAGGGATAAGATGACAGACTTAATGAGGAAATTGAAAACATCAAACAAAGAGAACTATTGGAACTGAAGAACAAAACAAATGAATTAGAAAAAGCAAGAGAAACAGTTAATAGTAGAGTCAAAAAGACAGAAGACAGAATAAATGAAGACAAAATAAGTGAGCTTATCGAGTCTCTAGAGAAATAAGAAAGAAGAATGAAAAAAGGTGAACTAAACCAAATGGAAATACGGAATTCAATTTACAAATCTAACATTAGAATTATTGGACTCCCAGAGCACCATGACAACAATGAAAACAAAACTGTACTACAAGAGACTGAAAGAGAACTACAAAAATGGAAACACATCCTGTGCTCATGGATTGGAAGACTCAATATAGTGAAAATGTCAGTTCTCCCTAAAGTGATCTGTAGATGCAATGCAATCTCAATACAAATCTCAACATTTTTTACTGAAATGGAAAAACTAATAACCAACTTTATGTGGAAAGAAAAGAAACTCTGAATAGTCAAAGCAATATTGAAGGAGAAAAACAAGGCAGGAGGCCTCACACTCCCCAATATCAAAACATACTATACAGCTACTGTGATCAAAACAGCCTGATATTGGTTCAATGATAGACGCATAGACCAGTGGAATGGAAATGAGAACTCAGAATTTAAACCCAGCCATCTGTGGACAACTGATTTTCAACAAGGGGTTGAAGTCCATTTATTGGGAGCAGAAACAATCTCTAATAAATGATGCTGGCCAAACTGGGTATCCACCAGCAGAAAAATGAAACAGAACCCATACCACACAACATACACAAAAACTAACTCAAAGTGGATCAAAGACCTAAATGTTAAGCCTAAAACTATAAAATTCCTGGAAGACAACCTAGGGAGAAAACTGTGGGAACAAATCTTTTTTAAAAGTATGATAACAAACATTACAATGAATGCCATGAATAGAAAAAGGCAAAGTACATAAATGTGCCCTCATAAAAATTAAAAACTTATGCTTATCGAAAGACTTTATTGAAAAAGTAAATAGACACCTACAGACTGGGAAAAAAATCTATGGAAATGACTTATCCAATAAGTGTCTAATCCCTAAAATCTATAGAAAACTGCAACAACTCAACAACAAAACGACAAATAACCCAGTCACAAAATGGACAAAGGACATGACAGAACCTTCACCAAAGAGGACATCCAAGCAGCCAACAAACACGTGAAAAGATGTTCATGATCACTAGCCATTATTCTTGTTAGGTGCTGTCCAGTTACTTCCAACTCATAGCAACCCTATGTATCACAGAAGGAAACACTGCCTGGTCCTGCACCATGCTCACAATTGTTATGCTTGAGCCCATTGTTGCAGCCACTGTGTCAGTCCATCTCATTGAGGGTCTTCGTCTTTTTTGCTGACCTTCTACTTAACCAAGCGTGATGTCCTTCTCCAGGGATTGGTCCCTCGTGATGACAGGTCCAAAGTATATGAGACAAAGTCTCGCCATCCTCACTTCTAATGAGCATTCTAGCTGTACTTTTCCCAAGACAGATTTGTTCGTTCTTCTGACAGTCCAGCCATTAGAGAGATGCAAATCAAAACTACAATGAGATACTATCTTACCCCAGCTAAAATGGCACTGATAAAAAAAGCAGATAACAAGTGTTGGCAAAGATGTGGGGAGATTGGAACCTTTATCCATTTCTGGTGGAACTGTAAAATGGTACAACTATGGAAAATGGTATGGCACTTTCTCAAAAAACTAGAAATAGGACTACCCTATGATCCAGCGATCCAACTCCTAGTTATATTCCCAAGATACCTAAAAATAATGACATGAACAGACATATGCACACCTATGTTCCTTGCTGGTTTATTCAAAACAGCAAATAAGTAGAAACAACTGAAGTGCCCATCAGCAGATGACTGGATAAGCAAGTTGTGGTACATACATACAATGGAATACTATGCTACCATAAAGAACAATTATATGTCCACAAAACATATTATAACATGAATGGACATGGAGGGCATAATGCTAAGTGAAGTAAGTCAAGCATATAAGGACAAATACTGTATGAACCCTCTTTTATAAGAAGATAAGAATAAATATATAGAGAGACACCAATGTTCATGGGTGGTTACCAGGGAGAGGAAGGAGAAGGGGAAATTATGCTTTAGATCATACAGACTTGTTATTTTTGGTGATGGGAAAAGTAACACCAAATGTGGATGTAGTGAGCACAGCATAACCAAAGTAAAAATGAGTGTTAGAGCACATATGGATGGGTATCGGCATATTGGTATATGAGTATAGGTACAGGTGTATACATAGATGAGAACAGATAGAAATCTTTATAGGTACGTGTAAATACAAATATATTGGTGAACGCACATATATTCCTTGAAGACATAAATACAAATACTGCTCGACATAACCAAACACCTTCCAAGGTTGATTTTTCTGGGTTTGAAAGCTTAGGACCACAGTATCATGAGACACTTCAGTCAATTGGCATGGCATACTTCACAAAAATCATCATCTGCATCCTATTGAA